CTTGTGAAGCACCCATATCGGAATTAGAAATAAGTCTAAGGATTCGAGAATAGAAAATCCCTCTTTTGTTTTTAATTTCCTGATGAGACACCTTTTCTTTCTTCTATTCTCTTTTAATGCCCCAGTTGTATTCTTTCACACTTTGGCTATTTCATACCTGTGATATTCTGAGATGTATTATGAAAAAATTGCTAATATAATACAGTGAAAGAAAGAAAATATTCTTAGATTCCACTACACACATAATTATGATGACCATCAAAAAGTAAGATTACCATTCTTTATTGTCCTGTGGTGTTATTTGCCCAGGATGGCTGATTTTTGACAAGAACTGTGTAGATGAAAGCTTATTGAAATGGCTGTTAACCATGTTGAATTGTAAGTCTGTGGATATAAATAACACAGAGGGGTAAGTTTTGTATTTCTTTGCAAATATAGTTGATAAATCCTAGGCTTTGTGTCTAGAAAATTGTATGTGAGTGTGCATGTACACTCTATTCTAGTGTTATGGAGAGATCTTGTGGGGATCGTCAACTCATCTGGATTGTGTTTCTCATACTGGGATTTGTGACCCCAGAGTGGTTACAGAATAGATTTTTGGGGGGTTGCAAGTGCAGGGTTGGCTTTGGGGGAAAGAACAGTAGATCATCAGAAGAGTTATTCCTCTTTCTATGAGGAATAAGCCTTTTTATGCAAGAGCCCTTGCGCAAAAAGGCATGTGTGGTTGGACAACAGGGGTTTCTTGTGCAAAGAAACCCCCTATTGGAAAAAGCACAGGTGCTCTGATGGCCATTCTGCGAATGGCCATCAGAACTTTCTTGCGCAAGAGCATCTATGGCAGTGTGGATGCGCTCTTGCGCAAGAACTTTTTGTGGAAGATCTCTTCCACAAAATTTCTTGTACTAGAAGCCTGCAGTGTAGATATAGCCTGAGATAGGAAGCAATTTTTCAGTAGTGGGGTACTTGTGACACTTATATTTAATATCTAATTTTGTAAGCATGTAGTTATTAAGTGAAGTGAAACTTGGGGTTTGCAAGACAAATCAGACTCATGAAAGGTTTGCAATATTCTGGAATGACTGACAACCTTTGCTCTATTTCATAATCTCATATTACAACTACAAGCTCTATTTTAGCACCTTTTCTCATGCCAAGTAGTCTTTACTTACATGAGTAGTCCCTTAGACTTCAGTGGGGTTATTTGAAAAATAGTTACAGGAAAGGTCCATAATTATTTTGGAATTACTGATTAAAATATACAGACTTTTTTTATTGTTTTATTGACATGTTAATGCTTTCAATATACATTTATATCTAATTGAGGCATTGTGCTGAATATCTATAATCACCTGTACCTGATTTTCTTCTATATGACTTTCTAAAAACAATTAGTGGAAAAAATTTGAACATTAATCCTAAAATAGACACATTAGACACATTAGACACATTAATCCTAAAATAATTGACTAATGCCATGTAACAATTACTGCAAACATACAGTGATTCATTCTTAATGTGCCCAGCTAAGAATACATTTGCTGAGCAATCTTGGATGTAAAGGTCTGCAAATGATTTGAATCCTGCTCCTTACAGTACTGATTTTGAAAAAGTGAGATTTACATTTGAAAAGACTGCAAGAGATCTGAAAAAGTGTTGGACTTTTGTTTTTTTCCCAGTGTTTAAAATAATTTAGAATAGCTATAAAAATCGGAAATGTTTTTGAAGAAAGTATTTTCATAGTAAAATTATGTATAATTTTATTTTGAGGATTGGAGAGGAAAGAAGAAATGGAGAATGGATCCTGTCATGGGGTGGACTTACCTCCATGGCTCCTCCTGCCAGTAGCACTGGGAATTAGCTTGTTAGCCCTCAGGGTACCTCCCTGTGGCTGGTGTTTCCCCATGTCCTCACTCCACGCTCTGGACCTGTGTCACTTCCAGACCACAATGTCCCCTTCAGGACAGAATGTTCCTTCAGCAGTGCCCACTCCAGTGTCTCAGCCCCCTTCCAGAGGTGTCTCTCTCGGTTTGGGTCCCCATTGAAGCTTGTCTGGCTCCCAAGTGGGTCCCCTCAGTTCTCTGGGTGCCCCTCTCTCTCAGGGACTCCCTTATTTGAGGTTTCTGCCTTCATCACCCCCTCCTTTGGAGCAGCCCTAGGCTGAGCCTCCTTCTCCACCTTTCACCCCACTCCCTGGGGGTAATGTCCTTTGATATGGTCCCGGAAAGCCCCCAGCAAGAGTCTCTCTTCCTCTCTCCTTATTTACGAGCCCTTATTTATGTAGCCCCCAACTGGGCCCTAATTGGCTACTATCTGCCACAGCTGTGGACTTTGCTCTCAGCCCTCTACCAGGGCTGGGTTTTCACCCTTAAAGGGCCAGTGTGGGGCATATGCCCCATCACAGATCCATTAAGTGCCAAATAGTTTTTTTCAATATTTTTTTTAAATTTGCTAAACCCTCATACTGCCCCAGTGATTCCTAGGGTTTCATTCAACTTTCAAGTAACAAAAATTAAATTTCCCACTCCAAAGAGAAACTTCAGTGATTAGAGAGCATTTCCAAATGTTGTAACTATGCACTCTTCCCCCTGCTATCCCCATACTTCTATAGGTCCCATATTCAACAAGATACTTACGCAGAAGCCCAAAGTCTAGTCTACACAGAAAAGTATTTCCTATTAGCTGTACTAGCCACTACATCCTACGTATACAGTATGATTGTGAACAGTTAATAATTACTCTGTGAAAATGGTTATCCAGCCAGTTATGCACCCTCCTTATAGTAGCCCCATCTAGGTAGTATTTCTCTAGTTTATTGATAAGGTCATGTGAGACCGTATCAAATGCTTTACTAAAGTCTAGTATACCACATATACCACTTCTCCTTTATCCACGAGATTTCTATCCTATCAAAGAAAGCTATCAGATTGATTTGACATGATTTGTTCTTTACAAATCCATGCTGGCTGTTACCTATCACCTTATTATCTTCCAGTTGTTTGCAGATGAATTCCTTAATTACTTGCTCTATTATCTTCCCTGACTCAGAAGTTAAACTGACTGATCTGTAGTTACCTGGGTTGTTCTTATTTCCCTTTTTATAGATAGGCACTATATTTGCCCTTTTCCAGTCTTCTGGGATCTCTCCCAACTTCCATGACTTTTCAAATATTCTAGCTAAAGGCTCAGATACCACCTCTATCAGCTCCTTGAGTATTCGAGGATGCATTTCATCAGGCCCTGGTGACTTAAATACATTTAACTTCTCTAAATAATTTTTAACTTTCTTAACCTACCCCATTTCCACTAGCATTCAGTATGTTAGGCATCCCATCACCATCAATCTTCTTGACAAAAACGGAAACAAAAAGACTAATATGAATAGTCACACAGAGTATAATGCATTTTAGTTGAGGATCTCAAGCACTTTACAAACATTCATTAAGGTTTGGTCAACACTAGACTTAGAGGGTGGGCTTAAGGTAAGCAACTCCATCTAAGTAAATAATGTAGCTCAGTGGTTCCCAAACTTTTCAGCATCACGCCCCCTTTTTGATTTTTGAGAAACCCTCATGCCCCCCCAATAGCAGCAAAACTTAGGGGAGGAATTGGCTGGGGGGGGGGGGCTGGGTCACCTCATGCCGCCCCCTGGAATTTCTTCACACCCCCCAGTTTGGGAATCCATGATGTAGCTGAAGTTCGCATAACATAAGCCAAGCTTGGCACTGGCTTTATACTGGGAAGCTGACAAGAGCATATGCTCCTGTTGGCTTCTCTTCCTCCTCACAGCTGCGAGGAGTACCAGTGCTGACTAGAGGTGCACTCAGCATTTGATTAAGTGGACCTTAACTAGACCTGCTAAATTGAACACCAGAACATAGCTCTCTGTTGCATAAGTATAGATGGGGGCTAAGCCTTGCACTATGTGTGTGAAATAGGTAAGTGTTCTACACAGAAAACCTGCTGCCAAGACAAACTCAAAGCGTAGGCTATACGTGCTAGAAAATATTTATAAAAAGGTTATTCCTTACAATGATCACAGACTTTATTAAATGGGTACATGTAAATTCATAACAACCTTTACTGAGTGTTATGGTTACTGTGCAACTATGGAAGGTATAAAAGTATAATATTTCTGCAGTTACATGATGTTTATTAATTAAATACAGTGATTACATGGGGCAGTTCTATAAACTAAAGTATTACTATAACATGTAAAATTTATAAATTGGGTAACAATTATTCTTAGAGTTATATCATTATTCCAAGCATAATTATCATGTGATCAGCAGTGCATCTAATTAATGCATAATCACAAGGAAGTTACCTTCATAACTAAATGTACCTTGATTATAAAACTCTTTGTCATTACATTTGAGTATAAAGATAACAGAAATTGGTCCCCAGATATGGTACATGAACCCTCACAATAACTGCTTTCACTGAAACAACACTATCCCTGTACCATTTTAAATGGTTGGCTTTACAGGAGGTTACAGGGAAAGGGCAATGTGCTGTATAAATTACGAGGTACAGAGAAGTGAATAAATCACCTGTGAGAAATAACTGTCCATTATTAATCACAATTCAGTTAGAAAGCTGTACCACAGAAGTCAAGCTAGAAATAATTCTTCTCAATAACTAACCCAAAATAACTTTTCATTATACAGTAAAGATGATTTCTAGCATCTTAAAGTCTAGCCACACTAAAATTCTATTAAATATAATCTCCTCTTAAACCTCATCACACCACCTACTATCTTCCTACAGGAGAACACTTCAACAGGATCACCATTTCTGAAGAGTACTTACAAAGGCCTGATTAATAAAAGTATCAGCAGGAGAGGGGAACCTGCAGTTTGGCTCCTGGAGCAATCAGAGAAAAACATTTCGGGAAACAGAGATTCTATTTATAGTTGTTTACATAGACAGGTTTTTGCCAAACTTTGTCAGTTGCTAAAATAGTTAGGCTTATTTTTTATGTGTATGTCCTTCTTTAACAGGTTTTACCTGGCAAGATGACTATATGCAACATGTTATTGCCTTGGAACTGTCAAACATCCATAAAATCCACCGCTGGCATCCTGATTCATTCCTAACTGATGGCTCCAATACATTAAGGTAAGTCTCCCATAATGTTACATGCCATAGTCGTGGGTATACAGTTGTGGAGTGTTCTGAAGACCAAAATCTTATGTAAATCATCAAATACAGAATGAGGAGAAACTAGTGGTGTAATTGTATTTTTAAAAGCTAGTAAGGAACAGGGATGAAAATGAGTGAATGCTGCAGGCACCCTGAATGAGAATAATAATAGGATAGGAAAATGTTGGTGGCTTATATAATACCCTTGTACATCTATTGATTGCACTGATATCAGAGAGCAACTAGAAGAGCCAGATAAAACCAGTGGCCCATCCTGTCCAATATCTGGTCTCTGATACTGCCAAGTACCATCTGGTTAAGGGAGAAGAATAGAAAACTTCATAATCATAGAATCCTAGAAATGTAAGGAACCTTAAGAGGTTATCAAACCCAGTCCCTTGCACTCATGGCAGGACCAAGCAGTATCTAGACCTTCTGTGACACGTTTGTCTAATCTGCTTTTAAAAATCTCCAATGATGGAGATTTTACAACCTTCCTAGGCAATGTATGCTAGTACTTAACCACCCCGCTGGGAAGGTTTTCCTAAATTCCAACCTGAACCTCGCTTATCATGTTGGCTTGAGATGATTTGTTCTTTACAAATCCTTGCTGACTGTTACTTATCACTTCTAGATTTTTGCAAATGGATTCCTTAATTATTTGCTCCATTCTCTTTGCTGGTTAAGGTGACTGGTCTGTAATTCCCTGGATTATCCTTATTTCCCTTTTTGTAGATGGTCGCTATATTTTTCCTTTTCTAGTCTTATGGAGTCTCTCCCATCCGCCATGTCTTTTCAAAGAGAATAGCTTATGTCTCAGATATCCTCTTAGCTCCTTGAGTATGCTAGGATGCATTGCATTAGGCCCTGGAGACTTGAAAACATCTCACTTGTCTAAGTAATTTTAACTTGTTCTTTTCCTATTTTAGCTTCTGAAGCTACCCCATTTTCACTGGCATTCACTATGTTAGGTTTTTAGTCACCACCAAATTCTTGGTGGAAACCGAAACAAAGTAATTAAACACCTCTGCCAATTCTACATTTTCAGTTGTTATTCCCCCCTAATAATTACCAGGCCTACCCTGTCCTTGATCTTCCTCTTGCTTCTAATATATTTAAGAATATTTTCTTGTTGTACCCTTTGTCTCCAGATAATTAGATCTTGTTTTGTGCTTTGGTCTTTGTAATATTGCACCTACGTACTTGTGTTGTTTGTTTGTATTAATTCTTTGTAATTTGATCTAGTTTCCACTTTTTGTAGGACTCCTCTTTGATTTTTAGATAACTGAAGATATCCTAGTTGAAGTAGGATAGACGGTTATAAAATAATCGGCCCATAGGAGAACTTTCTTCTGGAATTAGCTTATGAAAACAAACTTGTATCTGTGTGAGAGAAACTATATATTAAAGTTTCAGTTGCATTAGTCTTGAATAACATTAAAAATAGCATTTTTAAAGGCTAGTGATAGTGTACTCAGTGGTCCAATAACATGGAAGTTTAACATTAGCATATAAGCATGTTCTGAATTAAGATACTGAACAATAAACTCTTAATGGCTAATAAGCACTAATGGAGAGACAATGCATGTACAATAAAATTGCTCTTACTTATATTAACTATTATTTCTCAGGGAATTGCCATACACTGGCATGTCAGTAATTATTTTGAATTCTTAAAGAAGAATTTTGATTCTCTATTGAAACATTGATGCCCTGCTCCTTACATGAGTAAGGCAATATAATCCAGGTTTTAGGTGATCAGTCTTCATTATTGGAAATATGTTTTCACAATGGCCAAAACACCTAAATAAGGGCCAGATTTGTAAAAGGTGCTAAGTACTCAACAGCCACTGATGTGAGATTTATGGCCAGATTTTCTGGCTACACCACTGGTTTAGGGTATTTGGAATCGCTAAATCATTGAGATGGCTTCTGTGGTGAGAGCCTCTTTGGATTAGTTGGTCTTCACTGAAGCAGAAGTGTTACTGACCTACTAGGTTCAAAATTGGCAGAAATATTAGACTGTTTTTCAGCTAAGTAGAAAGAGAGGAGAGATGTGTATTCCCATGCATGTGCACATGTAGTTTAACTCCGATAATCTGACTTGCACAACCTGCCTGACAAGGCAGAATGTAGAGTTCTGGAACAAGAGAAGGCATCTTGGTGTACCAGAATGCTTGACCAGGGATGTAAGTAACATGGGAAACTAGAAAGAACTACAGTAAATTATAGTAATGCCCCCATAGTCCTCTGCATAGCAATTGCCTGAATCCCCCAGAATCAGCATATCTCGTTGGACACGGTGGTGAAAGCACACTCCCATTGTGCTGGGTAAAAGCAGCATATACTTTTTTAAACTTCACATGTTTGGACAGAAGAGGATTCCCCAACATGAGAACCATAGAAGTCAGCCATAAAGTTGCCTTCTAATGTCTTGCTTTTAAGTCCTGATGTAATTAGTGTTCTGGAATGGGGGGAACAAATTTGGGCTACAACTCGCAGCACTGCTGCAATTCCAAGCAGGGCACCTTGCTGTGACTGACTGGTACCTTGGGACTGGCTGTCATATGCTATGCAAGCCTCTACAGCTCTCTAAATTACTCTACACTTCTGCTTCAGTGAAGACCAACTAATCCAAAGAGGCTCTCACCACAGAAGCCATCTCAATGATTTAGCGACCAAGCTAAGGAGGATGTAGAGTGTATCAAAGTAACCATAACCATACTTGCCCCCAGGCTGTGAGTTCCGCTTGTTCCTATTAGAATCTCATCTGCCTGGCCTGTCTTTCAGAGACCCAGTGCTTGTGCATTGACTCTTGGCCTTCCCCCTGCTTTCTTGGAAATGTGGCTCCAGTGAAAGATTGTGCCAAATTCAGCCAGCTGCTGAGGGCTTATATAATTGGGAAAGCTGCCTCCCTTGTGGCCCTTCATTACATTGAATCTCAGATTCCTTTCTTTGATTGATCTAATAAAACTGCAGAAGGTGCAGTGTCAGCTGATTCCTGACTCGCTCCTGGTCCTCCCTAGCTGCAGCTCTGTTTTTTAAATATATTAAGAGCCTGATGGCACCAAATACTCCAATGCTAATATAGGGTAGACTGCTTACACTGGCTCAGCCTTTTGCATAACTCCTGACCTCAACTCTGGCCCCAACGTTGGTGTGATACTGATCCTGACTCCAACTCTAACTCGTTGGTTCCTGATTTCCAACCTGGACTCTGATGAATAGGCCTGACCATCCATTCCCTGGTCTTGATGCTTCATTAATGCATAAATAAAACTCAGCACAGTGTTACTCTTCCAAACTATCCCTTCAAAATAAAGTAAATTTGTGTGAGTCCCTAAAGCGAGCTCTGGTTTACCCTGAAAATTTAATTTGGCATGGCTCTGTTTCTCAGGCAAAAAGCCATGGTGGGCGAAAAGCCTTAACCCTCAGAGATGTAACCATGCCAACCTAACCCCAGGATAGACAGTGCAGGGTCACTGGAAGAATTCTTTCAGTGCCCTAGATACTGTCTCTTGGGGAAGGGGATTACTATTGATATGGGAGAACGCCTCCCATTGCTACAGTGAGTGTCTACATTGAAGCACAGCTGAAAATAAGCGGCAGAACGGCTCTTATGCAAGAAGGGGTTTTTGCGCAAGAAGGAGCAGTGTAAACTGCTCCTTCTTGTGCAAAAGCCCCTTGCACAAAATGGCAGCTCATTAAGTATGCAATGAGATGTGGCGATATTCATTGCCCCACCTCATTTGCATATGTTCTTGTGCAAGACTGGGTGGTGTAGACATAACCTCTGTCACATTTGAGGATCTTGCGTGTCTTTTTGGCAGACATAAGAGTTGGAGACTTAAAAAAAGAGAATGTGAAGAATATGGGAATAGTTTCAGAGAGGTATAGCTATATCATACCATTGCATGCTGGCTCAATCTGAGCTCAGAGTCAAGCTAAATAATCTATAAAAATAGGTAATTTATATATCATGTGAGAGTCCTTGTCACTGGGATGGATGAGAAGAAACTCTCATTCCATATCATAATCTCTATTAAGCCCTACTGGTTGATTAGTCAGTGCTTGTCCTTTCCCAGTGGTGTTTAGGGATTCTGCCAGTTAGGTGTGGCATGCATCCGTGGGGCTGAAATGAAAAGGGTTGAAATGAAATAAAATGATTGTAGCTTTAATAAAGTCTTTGAAGTTCTATTGTAAGCACAGTGCAGGTACACTGAAATGTGACCTTCTGCATTTACAAATAGTTTTTGCCTTTGGACAAAACTTTATCTTGATTGAGGCTTTGTAGATACTTCACTATTAGATCATTAATCATAATCATTATTACCATATAAGTAGTTTTTTTCTTTTTGCTGAAAATATAGAAATTGTCCACATTTTCTAGTGTCATGTTAAAACTTTTTAGATACTTTATGTTAAGATCATTCTTCACATAGAACTGACCCCTATAACTTCAGATTTAAAATATAATGACTTTTTCTGAGTTCAGTATATATCATTTATGCCAGTAATATTCTTTTCCTTGGTTTTCATATGCAGGATTTCAAAGCAGAGAGCTGATAATGAAAGGAATTATGAGCTGGAAAAGGATGTGGACTTGGCCAACTCTCTTCAGCAATATCTTACCTACCTAGGTATTCTCTCACAATCTGCAGATCCAGATTTATATCCAAGGATGAAGAATGACAAAGCTTCTGTCAAGGTTGTACCTTTAGATGCTTTCTACATTTAATATTAATTCTTTTCTCCTCCTCTGCCCTCTCCCTTTATGTTCTGCTACTAGCTTTTCTTGTTTGAGTTAAGACACACAGGAAAGCAAATAAAAGCAGCCATCAAAAAACAAAAAACAAAAACAAAAAAACAAAAAAGGTGAGCTTATAAGAGGTACAATCTTAATGTGCTGTATTGTTATAGGTTTGCTTCCTGCATATTAATATCCCACAACTGAAATGCATTGTAAAATCGAATGTAATAAAAGCCCGTAGATACATAAACTCTGAGGTATTTATCCACAGTCAAGAGATATGCTCCGTTTTTTTAAACATGTCTCTGATAAGTTTATGGAGTACAATATGGTATTTTGAATAAACTGGCAGATATTTTTGACCTCTTGGGTAATGTTTTGGCACCATGTAGTATCTTAAGGTGTTGGATGTTTACATGAATGTAACTTGGAGGCAGCATCTGCACCTAAGAAAGATTCTTAAGAGTTAGAGAGATATCAGGCATGCAAGATAAACTCTACTGGTGATTTGCTTGGTATCTAAACCAAACTGCCACCTGTGACAAACCTCTCCCCTTTTCCTCACCCCCTCATTCCCTCGTCTCAAGAGCCAATGACTCAGATACACAGAACTAGCAAGACCATCTCAGTAGCATCTTCTGGTGATTCCCTGCAGTGGAACATGTACCTGACTCTTTATTTAACTGTCATATAAAATATTCTGGAGTGACAAAGTGCACGAGGTTATGAATTTATGCTCCTATCACCCCAAAATGGAATCCAGATAGGGTTTCATTAAACAATTACAGCCATTATTCAATGGGGAACACATTCTGAAATAAATCTTTTTGAACCCCCTTTTTGGGTCCTCAAAGACCTTTCCACCTCATCAGCTGCAAGCTCCCCACAGACTAAGACACACCAGCTCAGAGCAGCACCAGAACAGGAAATACAAAATCTGTAGATAAAGTTCCACGGCTACAATGATCAGCACTTCCCCTCCCCCCCCCAACAAACCTTCAAGATTAATGGGTCCTACACATGTCTATCACATGTGTTGTGCCCTAACGGCCCCATTAACAACAATATGGGAGAAACTAGACAATCACCACACTCTCAAATGAACTTTCACAGTGAACTCATGCCACTCATAAAAGACAAAAACACCATATCACCTGTGAGTGAACACTTTTCACAAAGCGAATCACTCTGTATCTGACCTCTTTGTTCTCATCTTCAAAAGAAACCTGCACAACAACTTCAAAAGACAAGCCTGGAAGCTTACATTCCTAACTTTGGAGGATATTAAAAATCATGAACTAAATAGAAACACTGGATTTATGGCATATTACAACAATCTATATCCCACTGAACCCCACCCTCTCTGCCTTCCCATCGCCCTTTTTTCCCACTGTGATTGGAGGGGTGTTAATACCTTGAATATGCCCTTGAAATATCTTATGCTAAAAAAAATCTGTTCTGCCTTGTAGCCATGAAGAGAGTACCTTTCCCAGACCTGAAGAAGAGCTCTGTGTAATACAGACCTGGGCAAAATACCCTCTGTGGGCCAGATCTGGCCCGCCAAGTCACCAGATCTGGCCCGCAGATGTAGCAGGGAACCTCAAGCAAACTCCCTGCTTGCCTGGTGCCTCCTCCCCTCCCCCGTCAGAAAAGTGGCTGCCACTGCCTTTTTTCTTTCACAGCTGTGAGCCTGGGGGAGAGTGGTAGTGGTGCTTCAAGTGCTGCCCCCACCCCCAGAACAATCCCATTGGCCAGTTTCCGGCCAATGGGAGTAGCCTATTGTCAACAGGCAGCTTGCAAAGCACACTCTCCCCACCCTCTCAGGCTTGTAGCCATTGAAAAACCACATGCCCCTGCAGCCAGTTAGGGGGCATGCTAGGCAGGGAGTCTGCTTGAGAAGGCTGCTGGCTGGGAGTCAAGACGATAAGTCTCTCAGCCAGAGCCTGCTTCTGGTACCGCAACCCTTTGCTCTCCTATCCCACATAACCCAAACACTCTGCTCCCCTTCCTCCTCCCATATCCCCTCCCCGAACCTGCACCCAAACCCCTGCCCCAGCTCACAACCCAAATCCCTGCAGCCCCTTCTGTACTCCAGTCCCTCTGTCCCAAGTTACAACCTCCTCCTACCCTAGGTCACAGCCCAAACCCCTCCACTCCCTCCTGCATCGTAGTACGCTCCCTAGGTCCATCGTAGTACGCTCCCCTCTTGCTCAAGGTCACAACCTAAACCCCTGCACCTTTCCCTAGCTCACAACCCAAATCCCTGCACTGCAGTCCAGTGCCCGAGGTCACAACTGCCTCCTTCACCAAATTCCCTCCCTTATCTCAAGCTCCCTTCTGCACCCAATCTCCCATCCCAGACCCTGCACCTCCTCCCATTAACATGGAAGAGTGTGGCCCTTGACTACTTTCCAAATTTTTGGAGTGGCCTCCCCATCAAAAATATTGCCCACCCTGGGGTAAGCTCAAAATCTTGATTGTCTCTCTAAGAGAAGTGCTCTAATAACACATCACTTACCTCGTCTCTCTAATGTCCTCATAACATGGCTACTACAACGTTGAAGTATTATGGTCTGAAATCAGAAGTATCGCAAATATCATGGACTGGAGTAAACAGCGGGTATAATTTATACGCTATGACAAAAGGTACTTATTTAAAATAAGGGAAACTTTCAGGCAGCAACAAAATAGGTGTGGGAGGCTAATGAATGGGCTCGCTCCTGTTGGTGCCTCAATTGAGCTTTTTGAGTCTGAGGACACTGAGTGAAAATGGCATTCTTTGAAGCCTTTATCTTTCAGAGAAGAGGAAATTTGCCCAAAAGATATTTCAGTAGGTCTGGTGCTGTCATGCGAGTTCATAAATAATCCATATGTTTGAAATCCTCTGTTAGGGAAGCCTGCCGTGATAACACCACCCACCAACATTATTGAGTGTTGCCATGGAGATAGGTCCTTAGAAACCTGGGGGAGTAGGAGAGAGAGCAGAAAATCTGGAAATGAAGCACATATAGAAATAAACTGTAGGATGCTTTCCACTGAGGAACATTTTAAAACAACTGATCGTGACTCAGGCTGTGTTATCCGTAATACAAAATAGAAGTAAAAAACAGACAGCAAACAATGTCTCAGATGCTAATTATCCTTTTATAGTCTCTTGTAGACCTTTCTAACCTCTATAATTTAAAGGCAGCTGCTGATTTTCAAAAAGTAATAAGTGGAACATTCCATATTTATACAATGTATTACTGTAAAAGGAGTATTGTTTAAATAAAATAGAAGTCATTGTGTTTAAGAATCAGTTAAGCAGATGGCGAGCCATGTTAATTTCATGGTTTGAAAAAGGAAAATAACTTTAATACTGCATTTAATAGAGTTAAACCACTTTTAAAATTTAAAACAGATACAGATTTTGTTCAGTTTTGATTTCATACCACAATGGATATTTCACATTTTCATATTTTTCTCCATATGTAGATGCATTCTGAGCACACATTAAATAATGTTACTCCCCTTTTCTTCTTCTTTACTTTCCTTATTGAAAATACAGGAAAACTAGAAGTTCCATATACTTCTTACACTGAAAATTACCATCTATATTGCTAAATATAGACTCTTTTTGGCCTCTTCTTTCTGCCACTTCCATTGAGCCATGTCCTCTCCAGGTCTCAATTGGATCCCAAAAAATCTGTGTGTTGTCCTCTGCAATTCTATCCTGCCTGTAGTGTTTGCAGGGAGTACTGCACTATGCCTACATACTTCCTCGCTATTGGGAAGTATGGGCAAAGTTTGTTGGAACAGCTTGTGGTATTAAAATAATGTAAAATTGCATGAATGTGAAATTATATTTTGATTGGCCCTCATAAAATTCTGATTTTTTTAAAATGTAACCTCTAAATTAGGCTCCTAAATTCTTATTTAAGGGATTTACAGGGTAAAGCTAAACTTTAGAAATCCAGTTTTGAAAATCTTGGTCTGTAGTTTTCCTTCCATCTCCCAAATGCGTCTACATTAAGCAGATTAATGGGGTTGATTAGCGTATTCATCAAGTTTCAAGTCAACAATTATGTACAACATCATTCTAAAATGCACATGTAACCGGATACCTCAGAGACAGCTAAGCATTCCATGCTTTGCATGGTCAATTCTCACTGAGTTTGAGGTTCACCTCACACACCATAACAGCAGTAATAATAATGAGACTTAAATTGTGGCACACAACAAACTTTCTCTGTAGTTTACTTTCAAGTACAAAAGTCCTAGTGATTCTGATGCTTGCAGCAGTTTGAATTCCTTTTTTATATTAGTCGTTTTAGACAATATCCCTTGCAAGCTCAATAGGTAATTCTGGCATTTGATAATGACCTCACCCGCAGACAAACAGCAAGTCTTTCACAAGTCTTGGTGAGTGTCTTTCCCACAGCTTACAGCTCTAAAGAACATTTCACTGCAGTTCTGTTGAAAAGGATTATTCAGAAAATGAGCGCTTGGTGGCATTTGTCCCTTAGGCATTAGCTGGCATTTCTTCCACCCAGGCCTAATGAAGGCTTTACCTTCTTGCAAACTTCTGTACTGTCAATATTTGTGAAGCCTTTCCATCAAATCCTAGACTTAATTCACTCACTCTGAAAAGGCATGGCGTTTAGCTAGCTGAAAATACAGGCTAACCGAGGCTTCAAATTATGGATTTTTCCCCTAAATTGGAGCAAGTCTTAACCTTTCAGAGAAAACTGGTTTTATTTACATCCCTGCCTCTGCTGAAACCTAAGCAGGTGATTCATTTTGTTGGATTAGAATGCCCAGGACATATTTGATACCATTGATAACATTTTGGTATTAAAGGAGGACATGTTTCATTGTTCACAGCAGCCATGCTGGTATATTGTGGATATGTATTAAAATAACATCTAGGTCTCCTGGAAAGCCTTGGAATGGAATCTTCAACAAATGTGACTGAGGAG